AGCAGAGATAAAGATAGAAAATGCCTCAAGCCACTCTGTAACAGATTTATAGCAGATTAACTCTGATACCAATGCTGAATGAAATATAAACAGGCTAATAAGGACATTGAGCTCTGGTAGCATAGTGGCTAAGGCACTTGACTGCTAACCAGAAGGCTGGCGGTTCAAACTCACCAGCCACTCCTCGGAAGGAAGATGGAGCAATCTACTTCTGTAGTGATACTGCCTTGGAAACGCAAGGAGGGGTTCACTATGAGTCAGGGGGTCTGACTCGATGGCACGTAACAACAACAATAACAATCCATTAGTGTTGCAGCGAATTACTTGGTACAGCTTTTCTAGCCATGGTCTTTGTGACTCTTGCCAGATTACTGAGTGGGACCATGCAAATAAGGTACTTGGAACTCTAATGTGAGGATTGGCTAGTTTTACTACATTACTGGGCTTAAAATGAGTCTCCTACAGGCAAAAGGGGGGTATCTCTCTGCCATCAAGAGAAAAGAGCTGGAGGTGGAGTATAGCATGTCCTTTGACCTGACATATCTGCATTGGACTTCCTGGGCAGAAAGACATGAGACAACTGGCTGAGGAAGCAAGAGGCATGAGACAGAGTGGTGGGCTTGCCAGCCCCATGAGCGAGAAAGCTGAGCGCCTTTCAGCAGGAGGCTTGCTGGCGGAGTGGGGTGCACCTAGCTGAACCTACTGGCAAAGCTAAAAGAGTTTTGTAACACTTGCCTGAGCAGGGCAGGGGCCAGGCTGAGAGGCCGAGGGCCAGAGAGGCGTGCCTGAGGCATAGCAGAGGGGGAGACTGTCCTGATTGAAGAAATTTATGCAGAGCGCATTCCTGAACCTGAATTGTAATCTGTCACTTTCCTAATAAATCCCATAATTGTGAGACTATCTGTGAGTTCTGTGTGGCCACTGCAATGACTTATCGAACCCAGCAGAGAAGTAGTAAGTGCCATGGGAGGACGGTTGGTGTCAGAGTTGGTAAAAAGGTCGGAGGGTGGCAGGATGTCTGGCCTTAGAGGAATAAGCCTTGGGCTATTTATGGCGATTCTCTCCCCCCTTGTGAACTTAGAAGAGATCAGAGGAAGATTCCACCTCCATGCCCTTTTTATACCATCTTTCATAAGGTTAAACAAATGACATAGAATACTTATTTAAAAAAAAAAAAAAAAGGCTGCAATTAGTGAACATTTTGATCAAAGATTCTATATAAGATCAAAAGGGGGGAAATGCAGAAACAAATTGCAAATTTCACGTAACCCAGACTTCCTAAAGCCACTGAGATGGGATGAACCCCCAAAGCTATTTCCCTGAGATAATCTTTAAACCTTAAAGCAAGTATATTCCCTGAAGTCTTCTTTAAACCGAACAATAGTTTAGCTTAACTACTAAAGAATGCCTGTCTTCTTTG